CTCTCATATATATATATATATATATATATATATATATATATATATTAGGCAATAGAGATATATTAGGAAAACAATTCATTGATGATTAAATTTGACCTCTTTTCTTTTCCTTTTTTTTTTTTTTAAAGTTTTGGCAGAATACAATGATTGCTACATGAGTAAACTTTTTATTCTTATTATTATATTGATTTTAAAGTACATGTACTAATTTCCAAACAGTGTACCTTCAACCCAATTTTAATATGTTAGAAATTTTTAAAGCCATATTATGGCCCTGTGTATATCATAAAACATATTGAAAATAAATTCTAGTATATGTCAAATAAAAGTAAATTCATTATTCAAATTATAAGAGTTTTTTTTTTATCCACTCTCCATAAAGGTAGATTTGGGCTCTGATACTAAATTGTAACGCCCGAAATTCTTTTTTTTTTTAATTAAAAATAGACTTGAAGTGTTACAAAAAAGTCATCTTCTTTTTCTAATTTAAGCAAAAATTCTTTTTTTATTCAAAATTTAAAATTTATTGATAAGTCGATAACGATAAACCAAGCATTTAAATTTTCACATTAAATAAAATCTTAAAATACTACGATTTCAAACCATAAATTCAAATTTAATATAAAATGTCAAAATTTTCGAACACAAGAAAACTACTAAATACTATGCACAGAATTTAACATAAAAATGTTCTTCAACAGGATATAAGAAATTTGCAAATTATCATATTTAGAAATTTTATTTGGCGATCACATAAGCATCACTCGGTCAACCTGCCACATGTCCACACAACCCGTTCTAATCTGAAGAGTTATTTTAAGAGTGCATTTTGAAAACACTCAATAAGAAATATGTGTATATTCTTATTAATATGATATAAATATAAATTGACATAACATATCGACTTTTCTTAGATTTAGAGCAAGTTCGTCGCGATATCCAATAGCTCAATAAATTTCTTAAGAGTTTCTATATCCTGTAGGATTTAAATATTTGATCAGAACAGTCAATTTTGTAGGATTTAACATAGAAATCGACCTTAAGACCTCATAATATTCATGCCAAAATTTAGGTAAACATTATGAAAATAAGAATTTACTATTTTGCACTATATATTCTTACCTCAGTTGATATCACAAATTCTGAAAATATTTCTTGAGACAATAATTAAAATAGGCAAAATGTTTGTAAGAGAATGAAAATCAACTTGTAAAATTTTGAATTTGGTTGATGAAATAAAGAAATACTCCTTTTTAATAAGTGTTTTTTAATGTGCATAGGTAAAGGGATAGAAAAAATCTCAATTTTCTAATATTGTAAGAAAAGACAAAAAGATATAAAAATTATAAGAGAAAATAAAGATGAAAATAATATGATTTCCTTTTAGGGAGAAAATTTTTTTCTTTTAAGATTTTCTTATCTTAATAGATTTTTTTTTCTTTTGGGAACTTTTTAGAAAATTTTCTATTTTGGCTGCGTAATTTGAAGACTTTGTAATTGGGAAGAAGATTTGGCTGCGTAATTTGAAGACTTTGTAATTGGGAAGAAGATTTATCATTTTCTCTTAATTAGAAGACAAACTTTTTCAAATTACTTAAAGATTTTTTTAAAAGTTTTGTCATTCTCCATTAATTAATAGATAGATTTTTTCTTACTTAAATACCTTTTCAAAATTACACAAAGAATTCTCCAACCCTTTTTACGTAGAAAACTTAACTATATCTTCTATTCTATCTATATATATATATATCTATATCTATATACTACCTTAAAAGAGAGGATTAGGGCTTCACTATTCATTCTTTCACATGAGGTTTCACACATATCTCGTTCAAACTGGTTCTTCCACCGTGGCCAAATGAAACACGTATAACTCCTCTGCTTTATTGTTGACAGCTATTTCCCTAACCCCTATTTTGTCTTCTCTCTTAAATCTACTACATAAAACCTGCAAAATTTCCCCCAAATCTCTTGCAAAATTGGAATCCTCAAAAAACTAGTAAGGGAAGAACGATAATCGACGTTCGAATGGCTGGGATGGCCATCATCAATGCCACTGTCATGGAGCGGTGCCACGTATGTCAATTGAGGCTGTGGTGGAAGTGCTGGCACAATTAACGATTCCATCCAATCCTCTGACCCTGAATCTCTCCAAACCCACGAGATTTGAGGTTCACACTCGTGAAATATTTTCGTGTTTCATATTTCTCATTTTTCAACTGTTAGTAGTGAGTTTCAACTTTCACGGAGTTAATATTAATTTATATGCTGGGTGGTTATGGAAATTCAGTAGCTCGACAAGGTTAGTTATTTTCACCATTCACTACGATCTTGTGAGTTCTCAATATTCAATTATCAATCGATGCTTCAATTTTTTGTTTGACGAAAATACCCCAATACAATTCAGATATTTTTAGATTCACCAATACCATAGTTGCATGCACTTTTTAGTCATTTCACTTATCTAATGACGGTCACATTCTTCGACTACCAAAAAATGGGCATGTAACGCAAAGGTCACAAAAAATAGTGAGTTTAATCAACAAAAATACTAAAATTAATAAACGTAAAAAATGAAAAATGGAAAGAAATCGCGGAAAAATAAAAGATGAACACTGGATTTTTCGCCCTAAGGCAAGAGGTTTAGAACTTCGTTCATAATCCCCTTATGAGCTTCCGTCAAAACAGAAAAAATCACTATATCAACGAATCAATGAAGCTGTCCAAATTGCACATCTCGTAGCACTCAGAATATCACTCAAGATTATTCAACATAAGCCTCACTAATTGATACAGCCATTCACTCAAGAATAGATGAAGATAATCTGTACAAATCACTCAAGATTATACAATTTTGGGGCTCATATCGAAGGAAGCTTTCTTGGACAGATTTTTTAGATCGAAAGAAGGAGAATAATCTCTTGAGAGAGATGAAGCGGCAAACTGAGAGAGAGAGAGAGTGAAAATTCCAGATTCTAGCACCATCCAGGAACCCTAACGAGGGTTAAGTAGAAGACCCTAGAAGTCTTGCAATCCAACGATGAGTAATACAACACTTGGCAAGATCATAACCATTGCTTCAATTGTATAGAAAGCATGTTTTAATAACACGATTTTTGCCAACATTAAGTAAACCATTTATCTCTTGGACTAACTGGCCCAGCAGCTTAGAAGAAGTATTAAGTCAGCCCAACATCATTGTGCCACATTTCTTCACATTCTCCACCTTGGTACAATGATTCTAGTTTCATCTATAGTGATTTCTCCAGTTTTTGACATCATTTGCTCTTATTCCTGATACACAAATCAGCAAGAATTAATATTCAACTGTTTTAAACAGTCCAAACACTTGTTTAAAGGCAGCACTTTGGTTCTAATATCAGCAGGATTAAATTGTATAGAAATCTTTTCAAGTTTAACAACACCTTGAGAAATTACATCTCTAATAAAATGAAATTTCACATCAACATGTTTTGATCTATTATGAAGCACAAGATTTCTACTCAAATATATAGCGGATTGGCTATCAAAATGCAAGACAACATCATTTATGAAACCAAATTCATTTAAAAGTCATTTTAGCCAAATTCCTTCTTTAATTGCATCAGTTGCAGCTATATATTCTGTTTTCGTTGAAAATAAAGCAACAATCTTTTGTAATTGTGATTTTCAGCTTATACAGGAATTACATAAAGTGTACACATAGGCAGAAGTTGATTTTCTGTTGTCCCTATCACCTACATAATCAGAATTTGTGTAACTCCTAAAGATAACACCTTCAGATTGCTTTTTATACTCAATTCCTAGGTCACAAGTTCCTTTTATATATCTTAGAAGCCACTTCATAGCTTCCCAATGAACCTCACTAGGATTGGACATGTATCTACTCAATATACTTATTGCAAATGCCAAATCAGGCCTAGAACAAATCCTTAGATATATAACTGATCCCACAGCATTAGAATATGGTACTCTAGCCATTCTTTTGAACTTTTCTTTAGTTTTGGGAGATTGTTCATTAGATAATTTGAAGTATTTTCAAAGCATAAGAATTTTTATTTAGACTCATTATGTCCTTTCTCTCTTTTTTTTTTAATTTCGATACCCAAAATTTTTCTAACAAAACCTAAGTCCTTCATTTCAAATTCAGATTTTAGTTTGTCTTTAATTAACTCTATTTCCTTTATGTCATGACTAGCCAAAATCATGTCGTCCATATAAAGTAAAAGATAGAGTGAATTCTCACCTCCGTTTCCTTTACAATAAAAACAAGTATCGAAATTACTTCTTTTAAAACCAAGTCCAAGTGCAAAAGTGTCAAATCTCTTATACCATTGTCTTGGAGTTTGTTTTAAACCATAAAGTGACTTTTTAAGAAGGCATACTAAGTCAGAATTTTTATTCACTTCAAAACCTTTTGATTGTTCCATAAAAATGGTTTATTCAAGATCTACATTTAAAAATGTAGTTTTTACATCTAATCGATCCAATTCCCAATTAAATTGAGCTGCAAAGGCAAGTATGACTCTTAACGATTGTAAATTTTACAACGAGGGAAAATATTTCATTAAAGTCTATCCCCTCCTATTGAGCAAAACTCTTAGCCACAAGTCTTGCTTTATATCTAACGTCTTTCTCATCTTTTTCACCTCTTTTGATCTTATAGATCCACTTGTAATCTATAACTCTCTTTCCCTTAGGTCTCTTGACTAAGGTCCAAGTTTTATTCTTCCTCAAAAATTCCATCTCATCATGCATTGATGCAAGCCAATGCTTAGAGTTCTTACTACTCATAGCATCTTTATAGGACTCGGGTTCATTCTCAATGAACCCCTAAACAGTAAGAAGGGACATTTCATCATCAAACCTCACAAGTGGTCTTATTTGTTTCCTTTCTCTATCTTTGCAAGTTGATAATCATTTAAGGGTTGATTTACTTCAAAATCAGATTCATTCAGATCAGTTTCATTGATATTTTGAACCTCAATTTCACTATTTCCACTCTGATCAGGTTGTAGATTATTATTATTAACTTGCTCCACCTTAATTTCACTTTCCCTTCTTTCATTTTCAGTCTGACCAAATTCAGTTGTGTTATTTTCAGATTTCAAACAAGGTATATTAGATTCATTAAACACCACATTTCTACTCAAAATGATCTTATAGCCTTTGGTCTCTTTTACCCAAAGTCCATACCCCTTCACCATAGCCCAAGAAAACACACTTTAGGGCTTTAGGTTCAAGTTTTCCTTCAGATTGGTTTGCAAATGCTGCACAACCAAATATTTTTAGATTTCTCAAATCTACAAATTTTTCTGTCCAAACTTCTTCAAGTGATTTGAATTGTATAGCATTAGCAAGGCTTCTATTTATGAGATAATTAGCAGTTTTTGCAGCTTCTCCCCAAAATAACTTGGGAAGACCAAACCTAGTAAGATACATCTAACTCTTTTAAGAATAGTTCGGTTCATTCTTTCAGCCAAGCCATTTTGTTGTGGGGTGTGTGTCACTGTTCTGTGTCTTAGAATATCATACTCTTTGCACAATTCATCAAATTTATAATTGCAAAATTCAAGCCCGTTATCAGTCCTCAACACTTTAATCTTTTTATTTGTTTGATTTTCAATCAAGATTTTCCATATTTTAAAAGCATTAAAAATATCAGACTTATGTTTAAGTAGAAAGAGCCAATTTTTCCAAAAAAATCATCTATGATTAAAAGGAAAAATCTGAAACCAGTATATGTGGGCATAGAAGCTGGTCCCCAAATATCAGCATGCAAGTACTCAATAATAGACACAGATTTATGCATCCCAGTAAAAAATGGTAGTCTATTTTGCTTTCCTAGTAAGCAATGATCACAAAAACTGAGTTTCTCAATTATATCTTTACCAAAGGCACCTTATTTTTTTAAAATTTGCAAGCCTCTGTCACTATGTGGCCCAATCTTTTATGCCATAGTTGTGACTTATCATTGGGGGCAGAAATTGTTGCTGGTGTGGAGTCAAAAAAGTATTGAGCGTGTAAAATGTAAGGTCTATGTCTCTTGGGGGCTTCGGCAACAAGTTGAGAGCCACTCAAGATTTTAATGTATCCCTTGTTGATCACAATATTATAGTTCAGGTCATCTAGGACACCTGAGGATATGAGATTTCTTTGTAGGTTAGGAACATACTTGATTTTTTCTAAAGTCAATTCAGTATTATCGTCAAACCTTAAGGTGATTGTTCCCGTTCCTTTTACCTGGCAAGACATGTGATTACCCATTAACACTTGGCCTCCATTTACATTTTCAAACGCAATAAATCACTCTCTTTTAGGACAAATGTGAAAGGTGCAACTAAAGTCAAGGATTCACTTCTGACTAGGTGTACTGTGTGTAGCAACATAAACCTCATCTATGTTGTACTCATTTTTATAAGTCAATGCAGCACCACCATCATTATTAGACTTATTTTTCAAATCATTAAGTCTCTTATGGCAATCTTTAATAAAATGACCTTTACTTAGACAATAAAAATATTTTTTACCCTTAGTCTTGTTTTTCATTTTATCTTTAAAGTTTACCTTCTTCTTCTGTCCAGGTTTCTTATTAAAATTGGCCGTCTTGGATTAGGATTAGGTTTGGACTTAATCATCAAATTTTCACCACTAACAGATTCTCTCTTTTCATATTTTAACTCTAACTCTTTGTTTCTCAATGCATTTATTATCACGTCAGTAGTTAGAGTCTCCCTTCCATATTCAATAGCATTTTTAACATCTCTATATTTATCACTTATTGAATTTAACAAAATCACAGCCAACTGATCTTTTGAAAGTTTCTGATCACAATCGGCTAGGTCACGGGATAATCTGTTGAATCTATCAATATTTGCCTCAAGATCAAGAGATATGTCCAATTTGAAACCAAAAAATTGTTTTAGAGGTTACACTTTATTAGGCATGGTTTTATTCAAATAAGTATCTTCTAATTTCTTCCACAACTCAGCAACAGTTCTTGTCTCACCAATCTCTCTTAACACACTATCAGACAAATGCAAGAATAGAAAACTCCGTGCAATTTCATCAAGTTCAGTTTTCTCCATTTCTTCCATATCATCAGGCAATGACACATCAATGGCTTTTGCACATTTTTGTTGAAGTAAAAGAGCTCGCATTTTCTGGTGCTAGAGACTAAAATCTCCTTTACCATTAAAGATTTTCAATTCAACTTTAGTTGACATAATCAAAACACAATTTGATTTTTGACAGTGCAGGCAGATCACATAAGTTTTGAACAATATCTACAACATTTGATTATTATTATGAGAATTAATCCTAGCAGTATCTTAAATGTCATACACAATAATCAATATAAAGTGTACAACCAGCAAGTTGTATGTCACAAATTATTCAACAGTAACACTCAGCAGTTCATTCAATTTCCAAATAAGCAGTTTACTCAAAAAACAACAAATTATCAATTCACAGTAATATAATGACAGCATCCTTTATACTTTTTATTCATGATACTTGCAAGAATCATAAAAAGAATATTAAACCATTGACCTTTACTCGAGATAGCCCTCAGATTCCAAACAAATCACGGTTTCTGGACTAAGGCACTATTAAGAAGTCTTCGATTTATTAATTTTTACCACAATTGCAAGGGTCACAGGATATAGTCAGGTAAGGTATACTATAACTTGAAGATAAATGAAACGAACTCACCAAAAAACCCTTATTAGGGTTTTAAGGAGCAATCGAAATTTACTGAACCAGTTCGAATACTCTTCGAATCTGTCGACACTAGTACCAAAAACCCCCGTCACGAGCTCTAATACCACTTTAACACGAAGTTCACAAAAAAACAGCGAGTTTAATCAACAAAAATACCGAAACTAATAAACGTAAAAAATGGAAAATGGAAAGAAATCGCAGAAAAATAAAAGATGAACACAGGATTTTTCGTCCTAAGGCAAGAGGTTCGGAACATCATTCCTAATCCCTTTTTGAGCTTTCGTCAAACAGGAAGAAATCACTATATCAACGAATCAATGAAGCTATCCAGATTGTACATCTCGTAGCACTCAGAATATCACTCAAGATTATTCAACATAAGTCTCACTAATCGATACAGCCATTCACTCAAGAATAAATGAAGATAATCTATACAAATCACTCAAGATTATACAATTTTGGGGCTCATATCGAAGGAAGCTTTCTTGGACAGATTCTTTAGATCGAAAGAAAGAGAATCATCTCTTGAGAGAGATGAAGCGGCGGAATGAGAGAGAGTGTGAAAAATTTAGATTCTAGCACCGTCTAGGAACCCTAATGAGGGTTAAGTAGAAGACCTTAGAAGTCTTGCAATCCAACGATGAGTAATACGATACTTGGCAAGATTATAACCATTGCTTCAATTGTATAGAAAGCGTGTTTTAATAACACGATTTTTGCCAACATTAAGTATACCATTTATCTTTTGGACTAACCTGCCCAGCAGAAGTATTAAGTCAGCCCAACATCATTGTGCCACATTTCTTCACGGGGTAACTTTTTTCAATGTAAATTGTCAAAGTCAGAGGAACACAAGAAGATTGATTATAGAATGATTTTGGAGTCAGTAGAGGGGTATTTTGGTTAATTCATGGTTGTTGATGCTCTGTAATCGGCGGCATGTTTTCGTGGCAATTTGGAGAAGTTTATTTAGTGGTTGAGTGCTTAGTCTTTTTCCAATTATGGGGACACAAAGTATTATAGGTTGCATTGTGATTTTGTAAATAATTAACCGACTTCAAGTTTGTTAAGAATAATGTTTATTCCTTCGTTCTTAGGATTAAATTATCTTTTAATGCAGTGAAATTTGAAGAATACCAGCTTTATCTTTTCTTTTTGGGTAAAAGGACTCAATATGATGTTATTTGCTGTGATATATGTGCTTGATAGAGTGTTATGAGAGTTCTTTTTCTATGAATTTGGGTCTCTTTTAACTTGTGAGTCCCAGTAGATTTGGTTATATGTTATTAGTGTAGTTTATTTTAAATTTTGAAGTAGTTTAAACCTTTTGTTGTTTATAGCTTTATATTAAATTTGAGGCATTGAGGTTTTAAATTTTACTCTTTGTGGTCCATTGAATAAATATGACAGAATAAATTATTGCATCTTGCTTATTTGAGTTTTGATTAAATAAGTTCAATGCCATGGGGGCGTTGAAACTGTAGTGTAATACTAAATGCCAAAATATATGACAAGTCCGTGTAGTATGCATGCATTTAAGTTTATGTTTATTAAAGAAAATAACCTTGGATAAAACATTTTGTGATGAGAGAAAGATGGATGATATCCTCTTGATGCTATCTACACTGTAAATGTTAATGCTTCATACTTGGATGAGATAGTATGATATTTGATCCATTTTGTTTACAAGTTGGTGTGTACGTTTTGTTGTAGTTCTTCTATTTTTTTTTATGGTGCAGTTGGGCCATCCCATATATGATAGAGACCAACAAATGGAACCAGCTTAATATTATTGAACTTGGAGGAAGACTTACCTTGGCACTGGTAGAAGCATGTTTATTTGATGATGGGAATTTGATCTTATGGGAATCAAATGATATTGTATTTGCATTTAAATTTGAAAACTTTCCAGGATATGAAGTATTTTTTTAGTTGAATATTAATTGTTATACCAACGTGTGCATATGAATAAGTAGGAGAATCAATGGTAAACATTTTTTTGTGTGCGATGGTTGCTTAATATTATTGGGCTTTCTTGTCGGCTTTGGCCACACTTTCAGTTTTACAAATTTTAAGCAGATAAATTTGTTCACATACATTTAATATTCCTTAAAAAACATTCTATTAAAGTATCGTCTTTCTTGTGTGATGATGTAGAAGCCAACTTATTGTTTCTAGATTCTCCAATTGGCGTTGGATTTTCATACTCAAGCATGAGTGGTGATTATGATATTCTTGGAGATGACTTTGCCGGTATGTCAAACTTTATGTTAACTCTTAAATACACCGACACCCCCAATCATAATTTGTCGATCTAACATAAAAGTTCATGAAAATTGTGCACATAGTAGGCTTTTCATAAGAAATGAGCTGTCCTGTGGGACATGTTGAAAACTAAATTTAGATAAATAAATGTACTCTCTCTCTAGCTGTTTAAACTTTTAAATGTTCATTTTGTAGCCGATGATTCCTATGTTTTCCTACGCAAGAGGTTCCTTAAGTTTCCATCATACACGATGAGGAAATTTTATATTGCTAAGGAGAATTATAAAGGTACATTGTGTTGTAGTTAGTTTTCTGATTGGTGTCAATTACTAGAATATTCATGCTCATATATGTATGCTGGATGCTTTTCGACAGGCGGATATGTTCCTGAGCTGGCTGAACTCATTCATTACGGGAACAAAGATCCCTCTTTATTGATAGATCTTAAAGGCATTATGGTGTAATTCGGTTCCCATTTAATTCAAGGACTGAGTTTCAAGATTAGTGCCAGGACCCTAAGATTTTAAATGGAGCAAATGATCACAGACGGACGTTCAATGCTAACTGATAATTTTATTGCAGCTGGCCAATTGCAAAACATGTGACATAGAGGTACTTGACACTTATCAGGGACAGACTGTGCTTCTTGATGAGAGGTGGTATGTTTGATTGGATTTATGGTGACAATTCATTGGCTAATGATGCATAATATTATAACTGGTGCTTTCTTTGTTCTTGGTCTTATTTTCACATTCATTACACGTTCATTTTGTAGATGATAAATTGATTGCTATCTTCTTTAGGCAATGTTTAAATAATTAATATATGCTTATGTCTATACAGATTCTTGGTTGACTCATTTTTGTTTTGATCAAACAACCATGACTCGAGTAGTGTCATAAATTTGACTCTTAATTTACTGGAAATGTAGATTATAAAAATGTCGATATTCGTGCACTAAAAAGCAAAAATGCTTAAATGAATTCTATCCCTAACAAAGTGAATGAGGCAATCTTTTAGGATTTCTTACTTTCCACTTTTCCATAAGGAGGTGCCTTTGTTGGAAATTACATGACCAGTGAGAGTAACTGGATAATGATGTACTGTAAAATTGTTTTTAGTGATTCTAATGATGTCATATGGCACCCACAAAATTTTGAAGATATAGATGCTAATAGTTTAAATGTCATAGGAAGAAGGATCCACCATAAGTAGAAGTATTGCTTTAAAACACTGGTGTCAAATTGAATAAAAGTTGGTTTATTGTTTTGAACTTCATTTGTATTTATTGTATCTTTACAATACTTCTAGCAAAATTGTAGGATGGCGACCTTTTGTTATTATTTTTTGTGTTTGTTGCTGATTTTAGGGTATTTGCTGAAGCGGAGCATGGAAAACTAACTTTTCCAGAGAGAAGCACAACCATTCTAGAGAAGAGTTGCCAGTACTTTTACTACTTTCTTCAGTAGGTTAGATAATTACTTTTCCCTCAGTTTCTTTTTTTAAAATTCTTTTGTTTAATGAGTATATTAAAATTCTTTAATTAAGCTAAACTCTAGGCCATTTGTTGAAATTTTCAGAATTTATATTTTGATCCTTTATTCTTTATCCTGGACATTGCCTGGTGGATCCTTTTCTTCTAATTGTTTTTTTTTTCCCACTACTTTTGTCTAATTTTATTGTATTTATCGCATACATTTGTAATTATAATTGTTTGAGAAATATAAATAAAAGATCAATATGGCAAATGAAGTATATTGATGATAGTTTGATTTTAGCTATATTTACTTGCATCTAACGAAATATATTTACGAAATTTTTAATTTCATAATGCTGTTTTAGTAATTGGACATTTGTACATGGAGATATAAATAATACCTTAAGTATTGTTGTATCATAATAGTGGTATACATGTGGTCTACGAATTCAATTTTTACGAGATATCGGATCTAAAATGTGATGATATTTTTAATTTATTTCGTGAATTATAACTATAGATTTCGGATTTTTTTGTTGGCTGTAGGGATGGAGGGAGTTGTATATAAGTAAGCACAACGAGATAGTTGCAAAGGCATATTTGGTAATGAATAATGTAGAAAACGCTTTAGCTTATCAGTCAGTTAAAGTAGGGAATTATTTGAAACTGGTTGAATTCATGAAGTTGAGGCAATTTGGATTCAAAGATGTACAAGTGTTCTTTGTCAAACCAAAGCTCAATTTGGTTGGCTTGCACTGCTAAATCATATAGCTTCACCTGCTGGTTATTTGGTTGGGCTTTTCCTTTAATGAAGTATTCACAAATTGCATAACTGGGATGATGTCTTGAGCTTTTGGCAGTCTTTTTGACAGTGAGTTTTATGCATGCAGATGGTGTACTATGGTGTGCGTAGATGGTTCCGTGCTGCAAATCTTTAACTGCATAAAGCAGCATAGCTTGCAAGGATTCAATGACTTCCGACGAAAACCTACAGCAACAGCTTGGAAGAGCGTAGGCTATTATGCAGCATACGCAGCTACACATAAGCTTCGGTTACCTGGAAAAGGGTCGAGGGTCCAATAGCTTCTGCTAGAATTTGGCCTATATACAAGGTACTAAGGTTTGCCGATCTCCCTTTCTGTCTGCATGCATCAATCTTCAGGAGTAAAATGCTTGACTAGGCCATTATTTAAGTGGATTTTGTAGTGTCAGGACTTACATTAGGACTGCAGTTAACTTCGTGCTTACATCGGTTTTCATTAAAATATGCATTTTCACTTGCTCATTGCAGGCAAATGTTGTTGCATGATATGCAGTAACATTGATTACATATCTTGTGTTTGATAGTAAGATTTTTTTTAACAAAATTTGCTCAAATTGGCATGTACACTCTGCTTGATATTGCTGGCTTTTTTTATTTTGGAGTTAATTTGAAGGTATGGAGTATGATGACTAAAATTGTTAGCCCTTACTTGAATCCAGTTCTTTAATATTCATTTTTCTCAAACTTATTTTAAGAATAATTTTGTATGTACAATCAAAATACTTTCCTATATTTTCTTTTCATTTTTACTTTACTTATTTTTAAATCTGTTCATTTTCTTTTAAACCTACCTCTTTTTACACCAAAAATTGATTACAAAATGCTAGAAATTCTCCCTCCTTTACCTGGGGATTTTTAAAAAATCGTGGACTGCCATTCGGTATAGAAACAATTTTACTCAATCTGCTTCCTGTCATTTGAATCAGAACAAATCACAATCTATGTTTATCAATCAGTGAATAATGGTAGAAGTTTATTTTATACTTCTTGAGTCTCACAAACTTGTGCTTTTGCTTTAATTTCAGGTTTCTTGTGGTATATATTTGTGAAAGTTTCAGTTTAGTATAGGCGTGACCATTATGCGGTGGCTGAGTCTGTCAATTGATGTTTTTCGTTTTGTTATCTCCTTTAATTTGTACTGCAAGGGTATTCTATAACTTATCCTTTCATGTGTTGAATTCAACCTAATTGTTTTTTCCATTATCTTCTTTATCTCTGGCTATCGATGGGATCCAATCACCTTTCTTTCAAGTGTTTTATCTCAAATTTAGATAGAATTAATCTATTTGTACCAAATATCTTACCGAATTGACACGTGGCGCCCCTATTGGAGGGGCGCATATCCATCCAATAAGAACGCGACACTTATCAATTCGGTCATTCATTTGGTAAATGATTTGGTACCTATAGCATCTCCCAGTTAGATAAGTGATAGAACTGCTAGTTTAAACAATTGTTTCGTTCATCTCTGTAACACTACTTTTCTTTAATCCCACAGATCATATTTTAGAGGATTTTGGCCTTCAGAAACAGATCCAACTAATACAAACAAAATTCTCGGGGATCACTTTGTCCATCATTCTAAATGAAAAATAACTTGTATCAAAATTCCAACATGAACATGGAAAACTTCTAACTGAAATTTAAAACAAGACAATCAAAGCAAAAGAAAACCGATTAGATCCTACTTCAATTCGACAAATCTTCAATGCACACGTCTTTGTTAATTTTTCATATTCGACATATAAACATTACCTTCAAAATAACTTGAAGAAAAATCTTCCAAGACTAGTTTAACATAAGACAATCAAAGCAAAAGAAAATTGATTAGATCTTACTACAATTCGACAAATCTTCAACGCACGCGTCTTTCTTAATTTTTCACATTAGACAAATCTTCAAAGACTAGTTTATAAATAAAATAAGACTTTTAGCCATGGATTTTTCTTCTACTTGTATGCTACTAATTCAATTATCAATTCCAAACGTCAAACTTTAGGTTTGACAAGTAAATAGATTAATTTATTCCAATCAATCATAGTCGAGGTTGCGTGTGGAATTTAAAAAGCAAATAAAATAAATTTATTATATATATTAATGAATTATTTATGTTCTCAATTTTCAAGAGAGGTTGCGTGTGGAATTTAAAAAGCAAATAAAATAAATTTATTATATATATTAATGAATTATTTTTGTTTTCAAGTTCCAAGAAAAACATGGGATACGATATCGCCCCCTGTTTGGTATCCATTTTCACCCCCATTTCAGAAAAATTTTGCCCGTTGAACATGAATGTGGGCTCACAGCCTTTTTTTTTTATTTTTTACTCAATAGGATGGAAATTTTTTGAAATGCCCCCTCCTTAACTTTGAAGTAAATGCAAAAAAGTGTAAAATTGTAATTTCATTTCTGGTGCACATTAAATGCACCTGCAAACTTGTTGTGTAACAGTCCAATTTCTTCTACAAATGAAAATAAGTCATTTATCATTTTATATATATAATTCTTTTAATAAAATATAGAATTTAGAACACTTTTCTTTCTATTCAAAATAATTCAGATAACTAATCTAAAATTATTTCTTCTTGAGTCAATTTTTTGTTATTTAATCTGATTTACAAAATGAGTATAATATTGATATATTTTTATAATTTTTTATTTTGGTGATACTTAAATATCCCACCCAAATACAATGTACGGTGAATTTTAAAAAATACACATAAGAATATAAGCTTATCACCTTAACCTTTTGGACTTTAGTTAGTGTGATGATAAGGCTAAACATGAATTATTCCACTTGTTAAATGATCAATATTAATTTTAGACACATACGAAAATAATAATTAAAATTTGATTGTTACACATTTGTTGCAATAGCTATTATGGGAATTCATAAGTTCCTTCGGGCGTGGTTGGCGAAACATTTACAAGAGCAGAGACAGACTCCGATACACAGCAGAGGTGGAGTTACTCGATGTACAGGATGAAATTGAAGGGAAAATACATGCATAAGAAATCCTACGAAATGAGTGGGATTGATTAAGAGATTATTTGACACAACAACAATGAAATATGGTTGTTGATGTTTGAATATTTTCATTAGTTACCGATATTTAAAAAAAAAAAAGGTTGAACCCCAACCTTAAGGGTCCCCCACCGCCCCTGCCCTGGAGTATCGTGAGGGAGGTAAATCGCAGGTTATGCCTCCAAGGGTATAGGGTGGAAGGCTGCTTGTACACTTGCACTTACCTAACCGATATTTTTATGGGTAATGCTTGGGGTACAGGGGTGGTTCACAGGTCCTCTACAAGGATTCAAAAAATTAAAAAAAAAAAAGATAAAAAGAAAAAAAACTACCGACACAGAGAACAAAAGGAGGGAGAATTCTTCGCCCGCGCCTCATTCCCCCCTCCCCTAAATCGTTTTCTCCATCTCTCCCACAAGCCCCATTTTCGGTCGACGCTCAGCCACATCCCCACCGCCGGACTCAAACTGAACACCGGAGAGCTGGACTGAAGCCGGCGCACCCTTTACCCTCGATTTCAGCTCTCCGAAACCCCTCTCACGCAGTCGACGACTTCCTACCTCCGGTCACAGTCCAGCGACCTGTACCCCAAGCATTTTCCCTCGAGAAATGGGCTTCCTTTCGGCTTACCTGCGGTCTTCAATACACTGTGGTTCCGGCATTATCCTGCGGCTCCAGCAATCGTTTTCATTGCAAATTTTTGGAGATTAGAAGCACGCCATTATACGTAAGCTGCTGCAACATTCTTGTTCTTGTTAGATCGCATTTGTTCTGTATGTCCGATTGATTCTGGATTGGAAGCACGCCATTGTTCCTGCATTGTACTCGCACTTGTTTTCAATTTACTGTCTTCAGTTGATTTTGCAATTAACCGTTAATGCATCAACATGCCTTTGACTGGACTCTTCACTTGAATTTGCATTACAAATTTTCGACATTATATTGTGTGTTCTATGCTTGAGTTGATTTTCTAATTAACCGTTAGTTATATAGGTTTCATACTTTTAAACCATGTTAACCATGTTTAGAATGATGACTAAAATCTATCGTGGATGCCATTTAGACCCTGTTAAATAAATATTGATGTGTATAATAGTATTCTAGTAAATTAGGTTGTTAAATGTGTCGTTGATCAATGGATGGATGGTTGGGATCTAAAGAGTTCATGTATCGTTTGTAGTAAATGAATTGGTGTTTTGTTTGATTTTGACGTGCAACAAATTCATTGTTGGCAACGACTTGATTTAAGTGGTGTAATGTTAGCTTTTACTATGGTTGTATCGTCTTGCTAGTCTTTAGTAGATATGATTTTTGACGTGCAACCTTATAGTCATTGACAACTTATTCGTAAATAGTTTGCCAGATTATTCGTAAATAGTTTACCAACTTATTCTTTTGTTGACAATTTGGCTTTGAACAATTTGGGGTTCATGGTTTGTACAACTAATTTATGTGCTTGTGTTTCCATCTAAGGATATGAAAGGAAGGAATGCTAAAATTTGTCATAGTTGTAGAAGCAATGGCCATTTTTTTGATGAATGCCCTAGAAAACGTCGTTGCCCAAGGTGTGCACATGGATTTCAGAAATGTTTTGAGGTTGAAAAGTAGATGTGTAACAAAGGGCGATTATTCAACACATGCAGCAAGAAATGTGGATTTTTCGAATGGGTCGAACAAGGAGAGTCAAGTGGAGAATCAAGTACCATTGATGAAGCGGTCAATGTTGCGGCAAATGAGGAAGTCGAAGAGTTGCCAAGAATGGTCGAAACTCTAACTCGAATATTCTACGAACGAGATGTAGAGATTAACTTGAACATTACTTTCCGCAAGGAAAACGGAAGTTCGGAAGGAAATGGGAAAACAAAGGAGGCCGCTTGATTAGTTTTATTGTGTTGAACTTGTTACTCGAATTATGTTTGTACTAGATCTTATGAAGGATGTAACAACGTATGTTCTATCTTAGTATGGGTGTAATGCAATTTAGTTTTATGTGTATTCGTTACCTATAGCCAAAATTTATTGTCTCATCACCTATGTTACTTGCTATCTTACTAAAAATGTCGTTCCGACAAGCATCCCGGCAAACATTGCAAAAGTTCTGCTTTGATTTTTCAAAATCTGCACTTGCTTTACATAACGAATGGAAACTATGAACTAATGTTCTTTATTACGCCCTTTATCTTTATTCATAAATGATGAGTAAGTATAAGTGCATGGTCATTAACTTCATCTACATTTATCAAAAAATTGGTTGGCATTACACACATCTTTGTTTCTGTGTCACATTCATAATGCAACAGTTACAATAGATGATAGTTTTTTTTGGCTTTTTCCCTTCATTGCAGAACATAAAAGATATTAATACAATATCACTAAACTATAAATTAATCTGAACAAAATAATACTTAAACAATATCACTAAGCAAAAAAAGAGTAAGGGGCAAAAACTCTTGATCAAGCGATGAATGGTTTAACAGATGGGGGGCTTGTAGTGACACTCCAAAATCTCTGTTAGATCGCCTTGTTTCAACATCCACCACCACCCAAAGCAAAAGAAGCTGCCCATCTTCTATCGTTTTAAGTAACGAGGTTTTCTCGTTGTGCTGTCCACCCTTCAAAAGCCCGAGCAAGAGCAAGGTGGTCACTATAATCACATGAAAATGGAGCTGTTACAATATTGATTTTATTAAATAAATCAAAAGGAAGCAGATTGGACAAGAAACACAAACAAATTGACAGCCATGTTTGATAGCTTGATCTTTGGTCAATATAGCTAAGATAATGACTTACACTGATCATGATAATAAAGTTCAGTAATTTGTTGTGTAGTTACCCATCCAAGTAATGGTTACTTCATTATTCAAAACAATATCAAGTCCCCTTTCAACTTTTAGATTAAAGAAAGCATAGCACTTCCCCCTTAAACCAGCCAAAAAAGAATAAAGTGTAACTAAATTCAAAGGCGAAAATCATATATACCAAAGAACTTTTTATTGAATGCAAAAGCTTCTTTCTGTTATTGCAAAAAAGACGTCTACTATAGAATTCCATCCAAAAGCTTCTTTTTCCAACTTCATTTTTATTGTACACATCCCAAAAATAGAGGCAATTGACGATCTTCAAGCTATGCGCTAAAAACCAATGTGTATCATGAAGTTATTACGAGGGCAATGCTAGTTTAACTGAACCTGCCGCAACGGCACAAGTTAAAATCCTTGTTGGTAAAACATAATAAAGCATGTAAGAAGTCTAATGCGTATGGCATCTTAAGATTATCTCAGAAGTTTCATTGCTCATATGCTGTGATAAAAAAATTAGATTCACTTGCAAGCTAAGTTAAGAGGATCAACTCAGGTACTGATCATTAACCTATTCTCATATATAAAATTTTATATTCTGAATTCCAAAAATTGGTCTTAGGAAATGGTTATCACACATTTATCGAATCAAATCTCGATATACACAGTGGCGAATTCAATCATTTAGGCTAGAATCCGCACAATCAGTTAAGGAAGAAAAGTACCTTTTGTTTAACTTCTTAGAACCAAAGGGACAGAGTGCATTTCTACTCATTTTTCCACTCTTGATTGTGCAACATCCATGGGGGAAATTTCAAGACATGAGAACATAAGAACCAAGATCAGTGTCACATGTCAGGTGCAAGAACTTCGCACAAACAAATCTTTTTTTCTAGAACTTCATAAAGTCTTTGACCTCACAATTTAAATGAAATATCAAACCATTATCTTTTGACCTCGCTATTGGTATCATGCACCAGCAGAAGCTTCTTTAGCTATTCATTAGATGATTTCAAACCTCAGGGTAATGAACATCAAAGTCATAGCAACTCCGAGAACATGATACCAATAGTTCACGTGTAAAGATGGAACTTCTTTCTATTTGAGTGTTTACCAATTTCATTTAACTAGTAGCACTGCATTTATCAAATGTCAACTCTGCCCGAGCCTTGTTTTGAAAGAATCCAGCAATTTTTTTACAATTGAAGAAACAGATTTCTTTCACAATTGTCAAATTTCAACTCTGCCTGAGCCTTGTTCTGAAACTATGAATGTTGATTAACATCGAGCCAACTCTCAAACTTACTACTTATTGAAGACAATCATATGTAATAATCGACCATAGAACAATTGAAAATGGCTGATACAAAGGAAAAGAATCAAAGTGTACCTCCTACCTTAGCTTGCCCTTTGGTTCATCGCAATTTCAGTTACAGTATCAAAACGAGGGTTGATGTCAAAAATAGAAATGAAGACAAAATGACTGCAGCACCTGAGAACAACTAAAGTTAACCATAGCACAAAAAAAGTAGAAAATATAATTTATTAATGTCCTGTACAAATGAATATCGATACGAAGAACCTGAAACCTTCGTCGAAGACCATGACAACCAAAAACAAAAAGTTCCATGTTAATAACTGAACTTCAGCCGACCACATTATGACTTCGGGTCATCCACATGCGATAAATGCGGATAGTAACTTGGAAACGAAAAACCTATCGCAATGTGGACAGTATTGACATAAGCAATCGAACACAATACAAATGTGTTTAACGCAATAAGGATTACAATTCAAGTACTCACCTTGAGCATTGAATTGAACTTGCATTGACAATGGCGGGATCAAATTCGATGACGACACGTCTTGTGCAAATACTTGACTTTGGGCGTCGCCCTGTACCACACAAAAACGTCAATCAAAGTGCAACCTGACTATTATAAGAAAGACAAAGCACTGACCAATAAGAGTTCTGAATATAAGAAAGGTGTCTGCATATTGTTCTTCAGATGCCACGACATCCGATAGTGCCTGTTGTGTATTACTTTGTCTAGCTCTCGATCTCCTTCCTTTGCATGACATCGAAGTTGCCTGCATTTAAACCGAACTCACATGAGAAACTATATTTCTATTGTACTACAAATGACATACTAACAAACTGTAGTACCCCTGCTTTCTTTGATGTGGACTCCAATGGACTTTTTCTTCGAAGTTTTCGTGGAGCGCCCTTTCGCTTTGTTAAATTTGGATCCCGTATGCTGTGGCTACCGGTACTTTGTGAATCAGTACATTGCGCAGCTAAATGAAGAGTATGCTGCGAAATGATACTATTTCCAGTACACATCTTCGTTGGCCTGAGCTCTATCACTTCGAATTTTATCCAGTCCATTACAGCACGTGTCCGGACTTCGTCATCTGCAGCGAGGTCGGCTACTTGTGAAAAAGCTTTAGACATCTCGTCATATCTCAACTGTCCCGGAGTACTGGCCAAACCATCGTAATTCACTACAATCCTCGTATGTGGTCTACGGACATCTCTTCTCCACCTTCGTAGTGTGTACTTATCTGGCAATCGTGTAATGTCGTTTCGGATCAATACTGTAATTGCATGTTTGTAAATAATCCTCCTGAACTCGAATAAGTGGCAACTGCAATTTATCTCACAACGCTCCATATCAAATAAGACGATAAATGTTTTTTCTTTCGTTGCCCGTGATACATCACATCCTCACGCACCTCATATGCTGTCCCCGAACACCCCTCAGAAGTAGAAATGAGGTCACAGTGAACATTTTCCTTGAACTTATCTTGTACTTCTCTGAATTTCGAAATGGTATAAACTGACTGGAAATGCTTCTCAATTTCGTAATTAGTTGCGCAAGGCACCATTTGTGAATATGACCTGAAATCAGCCTAGAACTCCTTCTCCGCCTTACTCCTCAGGGCTCTTTCGTACTACTCTACAAATTGTTTAACGAGGTCTTCGAATGCACATACCCATCGAAGAATGCATTCATACTCCCACTTCGTTGAGTTGTGGACATCCCAGCCCAGAATGTGGTTCTTAAGAAGCAAGGAACCCACCGACCTCTATTATCATACAATCCTGACAACCATTCATTCTCATGTAAGTCGTAAGCATCAATCATCTGTTCCCACCCCTCTTCGAATTCTTCAGCAGTTTGTGAATCGTAAACCAAATTATGCAAAGTCGAAAATATCCCGCACTTATCAACATGATACCCAAACTTTTCCAGCAACTTCTTCAAAATGTGCCATAGACACCATCTATGTCTCGTGCATGGGAAAACGATCCCAATTGCGTTTTGCATGGCCCGATCTTGATCAGTAATTATTGCATTCGGAGCTTGTCCATGCATGCACTCAAGCCACGTCCTGAATAGCCAGACAAATGTATCCGTGTCCTCATTAGCTAACAAACCACAAGCAAACAATATTGACTGCCCATGATGATTCACTCCAACAAAAGGGGCAAACGGCATGTCATACTTGTTCGTTAGGTAAGTGGTATCGAATGTCACAACATCGCCAAACTCTTTGTACGCTTGCCTACACCTATCATCTGCCCAGAAGACATTCTTTAGTCGACACTCGTCGTCTAGATCAATGCTGAAGTAAAATTCCGAGCACTTTGCTTGCATTTTCGAAAAGTAGGACTGTATTGCAGCTGCGTCTCCCTCTCCAAGTCTTAAACATCTAACTTGTTCGATATAGTTTTTGCAATTCTTCTCTATACATGTCATGTTCTCATATCCACCTACTTCCGCAACTGCGGAGTTGTAACTTTTATGTAACGGAATGCCTGCAACATCATTCACTTCAAGTTTACGTTTCACATTTGCACTCAACTCCCTATTGCATCGATACAACCTAGATTTAGAAGGACTAGTCTCATGGTTGTGATCAAGGTGGACTGTATTAATTCTCCATCTTCCACAACAATCTGAAAAGGCTCAGATCCTTGCTTTACAGTCAGTTTGGCATATCGGTTTAGGCTTTAAAGACCCACTCGCATTACTACTTCTTTTGCCTTCACGACTGCATGTGAAAGTTACATATCTCAGAATGCCATCATTCCCTTTTTTTGAGTTCCGTCTCCTAACAGGAAAACCTATATCATAAGCATATCTCTTGTACATTTCAAACATTTCTGTTTCGTTGTTGAACATCATTCCTACCTCGGGTACAATCTGACCATTTTCTCCTAACCTTTCATCCTCAACCTTGTTCATATTATCCGCACCATTATCATTGGAGGACTCCTCCAATTCATCATTCACATCTTCCATAATCTTTCCACTGCAGCAAAACAAGGGGTACCGTTCATCAAAATATAAACCATTTACATTGCATCATGCATTATCTTAGCAAAATCACGTAATGTGGTGGTAAAATTACGAATTTGGGGAGTTCAACAAGAGGATATACCACCATGCAGTAGTTTAAGAATCTAAAATCACATATTGTGGTGCTACAGTCACAAATTTTAGGAGTTCAAGAAAGGGAAATACTCATGCAGTAACATTTTGCTTTGCGTTTCGAATAGACAGTGTCATGATTAATTCTTTTGAATTGGAAATGCATTTGAATGAAACCTTCTTATTAGTTCTTCTAATAAATTGGTTGCAATAAAATGAAATCAAGTGAAGAGTCCAGTCAAAGGCATGTTGATGCATTAACGGTTAATTGGAAAATCAACTGAAGACAGTAAATTGAAAACAAGTGCTAGTACAATGCAGGAACAATGGCGTGCTTCCAATCCAGAATCAATCGGACATACAGAACAAATGTGATCTAACAAGAACAAGAATGTTGCAGTAGCTTACGTATAATGGCGTGCTTCTAATCTCCAAAAATCTGCAATGAAAATGGTTGCTGGAGCCGCAGGATAATGCCCGAACCACAGCGTACTGAAGACCGCAGTTAAGCCGAAAGGAAGCCCATTTCTCGAGGGAAAATGCTTGGGGTACAGGTCGCTGGACTGTGACCGGAGGTGGGAAGTCGTCGACTGCGTGAGAGGGGTTTCGGAGAGCTGAAATCGGGGGTACATGGTGCGCCGGCTTCAATCCAGCTCTCCGGTGTTTAGTTTGAGTCCGACGGTGGGGATGTGGCTGAGCGTCGACCAAAAATGGGGCTTGTGGGAGAGATGGAGAAAACGATTTAGGGGGGGGGGATGAGGCGCGGGCGAAGAATTCTCCCTCCTTTTGTTCTCTGGGAACCAGGCGCGGGCGAAGAATTCTCCCTCCTTTTGTTCTTTGTGTCGGTCATTTTTTTTTCTTTTTTTTTTTAAATTTTTTGAATCCGGACCTGTGAACCACCCCTGTACCCCCAAGCATTTTCCTAAAAAAAGACCAAGAGTCAGATAACCCCGGACAATACGAATTGCCCCATTTCACCCCACCTTTCACCAAACCCATTTCTCCACAAGAAACGCCAGAAGATGCTCGTAACTGGTCCCGCCGAACGGAGAGAAAGAAACCCACCAAGATTACGCCGCCGACTATGCTTTCCATCTCCGGCAATTTCGCTCAATTGAACCGTGAATCAGCCCAAGCTTTTCAGCCCTGCGTTTATTTGGTTATTGGTCTTTAAACTTCCCTCGTTTTGTGCAACTTGATGCCGGTTCTTGCAGCCGGTAGACAATTTGAAAGTCGAAACTTCGTCATTTTCATTTCTTTGTTCTACAGTTTGTTGGGTCGGATTCATTTTTTGGGTATTTTCTTATTTTAGCATTTGAAGCATTTGTGTGTCATTTCCCTTGTTTCTTCACCATCTGTGTTGGTCACTGATTCTGAATGGCAGATTTGTATTCAAAGTTTGATCATTGGATGGAATACCTCCAATACAAAATTGTGACTGTTCCCATGGATGGCATTACCTCTACCAAACTGCAGAAGGCAGCTTTGATAAGTCTGAATTTTGATACACAAATTTAAGAGACTGTTCCTATGGCCATGCATTGTGATATGGGTAGTATCGTGCTCCAAAATATTTGACAGAAGTGCAAGGGGGTTTCTTCTTCAATCTTCATATTTGGGTAAAGGTATAATGTAATGTCTCTATTTCATAAAATTGAGCAGAAACAAGAGGTGGTTTGATTACGTTTGTGTGCAGCCAAATTGACATATCTGGCCTCCAAATCTTCCTGTAAATGTGATGAAACTTGCAAAATTCTCAGAGGCCATCTTGTTTGAATTAGTCGAAGGTTTAGATGTTCTAGTCTTCTAGATAATTGTCACTTGGTGACTGAGCAAACGGCGTCGTTGGGTTGCCCAAAGCTACATGATTGTTACTGTTGCTACTGGTTGCTGGTAACGAGTCTCCTGAAAGTGACTATGCTTGACGGCCGTTTTCAATCACACTTTGATATATATTGCCGCTGCTGCTATTTGGATTTGCTAAAATTATTTTGGCTTGCCAGTTCTGATTGTTGTGCCATATACAATCACTCGCCGTTATTGATTGCTGCTGCCTCTACCGTATAAGTTGTCGCCTCTTTTGCTGCTTCAGATCGGGATGTAGTCGGGGGGAAATGTAGAAGACGACTTCAGATCCGGAAGTGGGTGGATTCGGCGGGGGCAGGTGAAAAAAATGAAGTGGGGGGATTCTTCAGCGGGCGGGTGAAATTGGGGGGAAATGGGTGAAATTGGTCTCTTTCTTTTTTTAAGTTTTTTTACAAAATTGGTCAACGAAGAAACGAAGCCAGAACGTCATTTTTTTAAAATTCTGTATGACTTCTGTACAAGAGTCTTTAGTATTTTTTTTAATATTATTTGCTGCCGGCTCATCTGGAAATTTCTGTACGCCTAATCGAACTGCCCCTTGTTTTGGTGTGGAATGTTCAAAAATTACTTGGTCATAACGTTAGCGCACTTTTATAATAAACAAAAACGACTAGAATCGAATGGGAAATGCCTTTAGCCGATGAAAAATAGAAAAAATCCTTCTGAATCAAATATTTAAGGCTGAAGTAGCTTTTCACATTTTCGGGTGAGTTATCCATTTCATGATATTTTCTGCGTTGTATTTGACACAAAACCGGATTCTGGTTTCAATTCTTGAATTTTGTTGCGGGCTGAAGTAGCTTTTCACAGATTCGGGTGAGTTGTCCATTTCATGATATTTTCTGCGTTGTATTTCACACAAAACCGAATTTCTGGTTTCAATTCTTGAATTTTGTTGCCCTTATATTAATATATGCAGTTTGTGTTTTTAAGGTTATCCTTTTCTATTATCGGATATTTCTGATAGAAAAATTTCTGCAGATGTGATAGTTTGTGCTTTTATTGATCTGAAAATGAAGAATGGTGTATGGGTCTTGAATGTTTGTTTGATTAATATTTTTTAGAAGTAGTTAAGTATCCATAAAACAGCGCAGAAACACTAGAAGAATCTTCTCGATGCAGCCTTTGGAATTGCTATTTTATTTTGCAAGTTTGTTATTACTGGTAGTTTCCACGATGGATCTGACTAATGTGTACACGTTAGAATTTTCGACGAGAGAATGAACTAAAACAGAGAAGATTTTTCTGGGATGTTGATGTTCAAAATCCTTGGAGATTCATTCTCTTCAAAAAAAAAAAAAAAAAACAGGAGGTAGAACCACTAAAATTACTTTTTTCTGTTATGTTTGCTCGCTCAAGAAAAGGCAAATCCCTTAAATCACACCGTAGTTCCTCGACTGTGGGTCCTCCCATTATTCCTACTATATAAAAGGATATTAGGGTGCCAGTTTTTGGTGTGAGAAAAATCTTGTACCTATTTGCATACTCCTTTTCTCCGTTACTGGGAAAATTTGCAGCATCTGAGTAACATGGTAAGAATCTGTTTGTGTGCTTGTTTTTTTTTTTATTTTCTTTCTGTTTATTATCGCCCTTTTCAGAAGGGATTGTAGCTTAGTCCTTAACAATTGATTGGGCATAATTTTATTGTATGTGCTAAAGGCAAACTAATTTTCATAAGTTCTGCTATATAATAATGATTCGTAATTTGACTTGCCTGAATCACGTTATGTGAATAACGAATAGTCGAGGAAACGACATCTTTTATCCTAAATAAACTTAATTTTCATAAGTTATGCTATATAATAAGTTCTTTATTTCAGAGAATTTGCTGTTGTGGAACACAAACATGCTCAGGGTGCTAAGGTTCTGAAATCTTGCAAAAAAAGTGAAAGTTTTGGGATTTCATTTAGTTGTGTAAACGTGGTTATGGCTCCTACTGTAAAAGTGGTTCTTGGCTCAATTGCCTTTGCCATATTCTGGGTTTTGGCAGTTTTCCCAGCTGTCCCATTCATGCCCATTGGGAGGACAGCTGGGTCTCTCCTTGGGGCACTGCTTATGGTCATTTTTCGAGTCATAACACCGGATCAAGCATATGCGGCTATCGACCTTCCAATCCTAGGTCTTCTTTTTGGGACAATGGTAGTCAGTGTCTATCTAGAAAGAGCGGATATGTTTGTGTACTTGGGTAAATTGCTCTCCTGGAAAAGCAAGGGAGCAAAGGACTTGCTTTGTCGAATCTGCTTGATTTCTGCCATTTCCGGCGCCTTTTTCACTAATGACACTGCTTGTGTTGTTTTGACTGAATTTGTGCTCAAAATTGCTCGGGAACAGAAGCTCCCTCCTCACCCATTCCTAATAGCCCTTGCCTCGAGTGCAAATATCGGGTCATCGGCAACCCCTATCGGCAATCCTCAAAACTTAGTTATAGCTGTCAAGAGTAAGATTTCTTTTGGGAATTTTTTATTTGGTATTTTCCCGGCAATGCTTCTAGGAGTTATTGTCAATGCTTTGATCCTTCTCTGTATGTATTGGAAGTTGTTATCTGTTCATAAGGATGAAGAAGATGCCACTATGGAAGTGGATGCTGAAGAAGAGAGAACTCTAATTTCTCATGTTGAGTTGTCTCACCTCACATCTTCAAATTCTCAAGAACAGAATTCCGAACTGGAATCTATAAATATTTACAGCTCTTCTAATCCCAATGATCCTACAAATTATATTGAGACTACTAGAAACCGAGGGACTTTGAATGAGAGTGATAATTTTCATGTCTCTCTTAATGTAAATAGTTATACGAATCAGGTTGAGACACTCGGGAATGGTGGCAATCCCACTGAAAGTAAAATTCATAAGGTTCCGAGTTTGCAATCTGTATCCGTTAAGCATTCAAATTCTTCGAAAGAAACTGCAAATGATGGATCCATGTCTTCAAAAAGTATTCCATCTTTGAACGGTAGTGAACAGGAAAACGCTGCATTACCGAAGAAGTGGAAAAGAATTTTGTGGAAGACGTGTGTTTATCTTGTTACCATAGGAATGCTAGTTGCTTTGCTGCTCGGTCTAAATATGTCCTGGACCACAATTACAGCTGCACTTGCCCTAGTTCTTCTTGATTTTAAAGATGCAGGACCGTGTTTAGAAAAGGTAATACCAATTTTATAATCTCTGATTAAGTTGGATAAGATAGTATTGGACAATATTTATAAAAAA